ATAATCTACTAACAAGATAAGATAAGAGCAATAGAATAAGATAAGAACAAGCAAGATGACTAATCTAATCTGGATGAGACTGCTGTTGCCGAACTGGGTAGGATGAGAACCATTGGATCACTGCTACTGCTAGCGGTGGGTCAGGTTCCTGTTGCTGCCGGCGGCGATGGTATGTCTTCCCGAGGAATGCGTCCATAACACTGACACTATAAATCACTAACTGACAAAGACTTAAATAACTTAGGAAACATAAGCTTTAAAGACTCAAGTGAAAGATGACCAAGACGACTATGCCATAAGTAAGCATGACTCTCACTAGATGAACTTAAGGACTCTGTAGCTACAAGACCGGCTTTGTTCTCCAACACATAGAGACCATCCACCATGCTTCCTCTACCAATTGTCTTCCTCGAGGCCAAATCCTGAAACACACATGAAGTAAGAAAGAAGGTCACTGAACAATTCAAAGAGTGAGTAATACTGCTAATGGAAAGTAAATTGATAGGTAATTTAGGAACATGCAACACATTAGAAGGGTAAGACCGAAAGGAAGGGAGATGGTTCCTTGACCGGATATGGTGGAGAATGATCCATCAACTAGTCTCACCTTATCTCTCTCAGAGAGGAGACTATATACTTGAAATAAAGTTGACTTACCAGTCATGTGGTTTGAGGCTCCAGAGTCAATTATCCAAGGGGAATCAGATGTATGAGATGACACATGGAAAGTAGTGGTAGTGTTACTTGATGTAAACGCAAAGGAGGTAGGAGTAGGGCCAAAATCCATTTGGCGAAGTGTCCTACCATATAATTCCAAGTGGTCACGAAAGGAGTTGATAATTTCTTCCTTGGAGTCAGAACTAGAGTGTCACTCTTGGGGTACCATGGGACTAGTCTCTTGAGATGCCACATTTGCTGAGTTATATTTCTTCTGACTTTGCTGGGTTGGCTTCTTACTCTGATCAGATGTTGATTTCTTACTCAATTCCTGAGCCCATTTAGGCTTGCCATGGAATTCCCAACATGTGTCTCTAGTGTGCCTGGACTTCTGATAGTGGGTGCACCAAAGCTTGTCATCCACTCTCTTATGTGAACCAACCCTTCTTAAAAGGGCCTTCGACATTTGAATTTGTACCTCCTCAGAATGCTAGTGCAACTGGCTCCCCCTCTATACAATTCATCACACTTCTTCTACTCTCTTCAGATTGAACTAAGGCATAAACTTCCTGAACTGAAGGTAAGTTCTTACTTCCTAAGATTTGTACCCTCATAGACTCATATGTAGGATTCAGCCCCAAAAGAAAAGCAAATACTCGTTGTTGGGAGACAAGTGACTTGTAGGCCTTTGCATCTTCATCATACTTCCAATTCACATTTTGATAATGATCCAGTTACTTCTAGGTTGATGTCAAATTTGAGTAGTACACTGAGAGACTCCTCTCCCCTTGCTTGCAGGTGGAGGATTCAACTTGTAATTGGTATATCTTTGCATAGTGCCTCTACTCTGAATAGGTAGACTTCGCTTGTTCCCATATTTCACAAGCTGTTTCAGCCCACATAAATGTCTTCCTTATTTGTGGCAGCATGTAAACCAAGAGCCATGACATCACCATACTATTTTCTTGATCCCACCTGTCATGTTCAGCACTTCCAAACTTTGGTTCCTTCACTATACCATTGATATACCCTATTTTCCCCCTAGCAGTAATGTGAAGTTTAATTCCCCTAGACCATTCAAGGTAGTTTAGTCCATCAAAGGGAATTACAGCCATGGGGAAACTCATATCCATCCCCCCACTCATTCCGTTTTAACCTTCTGAAATCCCAGAAATTGCAGAATTCTCAAAGGACATGATTCAAGAACACTTTTCAGTTTCAACACACAATTTAAGATCCTTGTTGTCGAGGCGACGCCTAGGCGACAAGGCACCCTTTGAGGATCGCCTCGCCTAATCGCCAAACAGTTTTGTATTATGTATTATAAAATACTTTTTTATTCTTTATTTTTTGACATTATAATTATAAAATAGGCACTATTGAACGAAAATATTCATTTTGTGTGTTTATATACTAATTTCTTTTTATTATTTTCTTATTTCTTAGGGTTTAATCAATATAAACATTGCTAAATGCTGTATTGAACCCCCAAAGACTTTTTATTAGAAAATGCTACACATTTTCTTTTCTTCTTTTCCTATAACAAAAATAAGGGTTCAGCCTCTATATTTTTTGAATTTTCTTTCCCTTCTTCTTTTTCTTCTTATGAATATGTTGATTTTCTATACTTTAACATGAACTCTATACTTTTCTTATGAAAATTATGAATAATTCTTAAGGAAATATGGTTATGGTGCCTAGGGAACTACCCTAGGATCTATGTTTCCTACATAAAAAAATCCGTCGCTTCGCCTAGGCGACTAGGCAACAAGGTGCCCCCGTCGCCTAGCCTCGCCTTGGCACCTTGAAAACTATGCTTAAAATCTCTCCTAATACCCAAAAAGGTCCAAAAAACACACTAGAGATGCAGTCCACATGCACACACTCTGGTCTGAATACAATCTGAACACAGACCAGCTCCAATTCTCTTTAAAAATATTTCAGGTTGATTTCAGCACTGCACAAGTTTAACAGTCCCAATCCACCAATTTTCCAAATCACCTAAACACACCAACTACTAGGAGAGATCACAAAGCAGTGAAGTCACACCCAAACTTGGTAAAAACAGATCATTCATGACCTACAAGTAACCCATTCTCAGGTACAGGATCACATGATCCACAGAAAAAAGGTCTGAACCTCACAATTCCTCTGACTGCATTCAGCAGTCTTGTTTCATAGGGTTTTTCTTGGTACACGACCAAGAGAAAAGGAAAAAAAAGGTAAAGCAAACTTGTACCAGTCGTAGGTCAACTTCCTTGATCTCAGTTGAAGAAGACAGCAAGGTAAAGAAGAAAGAACTAGTTCAATCTGCTCTCAGACCCAGTAGAACCGCTCTGATACCATATTAGCAGAAGAAAAGAGAAGAAATAAGAAAGAAGAGAAGAGAGAGAGAATAGAGAAAGGAGAGAGAAGAGACAGGTTTGGAGAGTACTAATCAGTCTGGCGGCGCTAGCTTATGTTATTATATATAGGGCGACCATAAATAAAAGGGAAAAGACCCTTATGCCCCTGTTGTAGTCAAAGTACATAAACAAAGGAAAAAAGGCTATTTTAACCAGACCAAACAGGCCCTAACTAAGCAGAATACAATCATAAATATAAAGAAAAACATTCCAACACGGATGATGTAGAAGTGTATGTATAATACACAGACACATGCGTATATGGGAGTGTGGATTTGATGGTATTCTATAGCCTATTTGCTTTTAGTTTTTTGAACCATTCAAACCCAAAAGAGGGTATCATGCTTGCATGGGTTTGGCTGTGGACCAAGCAACTTGCCATCTGGGCATTATTATACAATATATTGAAAAAAGCTTGTTAGTACCATAAAGCAGGGGAGATAATTACAGGACCATGGGGTTTGTGGTCCTGGAATCACAGTAACCAATTATGTTCTGCAATTCCAGGTTTGTATTGGACATTTATATAACAGATGGCAGGCAAGAGAAGGAAGAGTTCCATTTTGAGTTAGGATGTTCAATAGACAAAAGTTTGTTCAGTAAATAAGGATGTTGATTGAAATCTTTATTACTTGTATTATGCTCTATTTTTGTGTTTCTTTCACATTTATTTGTAGAGTCCCAAGTTAATTGTTATAATATAACCTTGGGCCTGGAACCACAACTAAAGGGGAGAAAACTTACTCATTTCCATATTCTTTTCGGTTTCCATGGGGTGTTTTGGTTCTGTTGGGTGTAGGGGCTAGTAAATCTATTCGGAAGAATTGTTCCCATTAACAAGTTGTTGAACTTTTGTCTTTAGGGTTCTCTCAATGTACAAGTTATGTTTGTAATTCTATGGAAATCACATAACAAATTCCAGTCCAAAATAAATTGTAGAAGTGACACTTTGGTATTCACTATTCATGTGGGTCTTTGGCAATTTCTTTAATGATCTAAGATCCAACATTGTGTTAGGAAAATGAAACCATCCAACCAAAAAATCTGGCAACAATTGTCTACAGCAGATGGCCATTTGATCTTGGATGTTGACTTGTAAATGGCATAATCTGGCGAGGCCTAACTCTGGTTCTTGATCACCAATTTATTTGTGCTTACTGAACTTGAGTCGGTTATGTGTATGAAGTGAAGTTTTTGTTTCCCTGAAGAAGTCCTTTGTTAGAGAAATACAAATTGTATATTTAAGTAGAAATAAGTCATGAATTTTTTTGTGATATTTGAATTCTCATCATGGAAACTGTTCACAGAACCACCTTAATGGTGGGTGGATGTATGTTTGCTGAAATGATGCATTACAGGTAACCACGATGAATGCATAGGTTATTGTATATATGTTTAGTGGTATCAGTGCTGTAGAAATGATGATCTAATGAATTCTTTTGTATTTGGTAGGTATGCGTCTTTAGTGTCACATGTCAGTCACAGTAGCTACTGATAACATTACAAATGCCACATCTTAAGCTTGTACTGTACTCACACGATCTTGTAATGCTTGTATGTCAATTGTAGATTTATTTTAGAATCATGTATGCCAGTACTGGGGCGATATGTCAATTCTCTCCCTAGGTGAATCAATTAGAGGAAAGGAGTAGACAATCCCAAGGGGACACTACAGCACCCAAAGTGTCACTAAAAAAAATGCTTTTGATATTCAGGAGTGCTCAACCCCAAAACTAAAGCCAGTGCTTTTACCTTTGGTCATAGGTAATACTTTTTTCTGTGAGAGAGGGTTTCCTATGTTGGAATGGGTCTTTAAATATGGTGTACCTATTTAAATCTATTGTTTTTGTACTCGTTCTTTTTTGTCGAAGTAAAAGCAGCACATGAGAAGATGATGTCTAGTAACGTGAAGGCTTCCTATTCATTGCGTCACAATAATCCCAGCAAAAACCAGATAAGACCTATGATGAGTGAGAGAGAATACTTGGTTCCGTTCCTACTCAATCTCTAGTGTAGCTGAAGGGTGTGAACCTACCCATCTGCTTTTGGGCACATGGGTTGTCTCCAACCTTAGTGACACAGCTTGAGTTCTATTCTCAGCATCTTCCTTTATGGCCTTAGGGCCAGAGATTATAACTTCTCGGTTGTAGTAGCCTCCTCTTCCCTATTATTTATTTATTTATTTTTCTTGAGAAGTAATACCACGTGCCCTTTATGCACTAGAAGTGGAATCCACCATTGGATATTTGGATGGCCTCATCTGGGTTGTATAATAAGGCCCAATGCTGTGCTGCCACTTGTCTTAAGTGCACCCATGGTGAGCATTAAATACATAAAAATAAAGAAAATTTGAACCAAAACCAGATCAGTCATTAATAGGTCCACCACTGACCACACCAGTAACCAATTTGGAGTCTATCATGTTGAGCTAGATGTGTGCAGCATGATTGCTGCTTCTGTTTACGTAACAGAACTAGTGAACATCTTAATAAAAACCTATTATTGAGATCTGTAAATGTATGAAAGCCTTCAATGAATCTATCAATCTTTCAAAATCAAGTAGAGTTGCCACTGGCCCCACTGCATATATCATTATAGAAGCTCCACTTTTTTTTTCTTTTCTGGTTTCCCATAAACTTAAACTGATAGTGTTGATTACAATAAATTTAGTTTGTTGAGTTGCTAGCTTACTACTATGCTTCTTGTTTATTCTTTGATATTTCGTTGCTGATTGCTTCTCTTTATATTGTTGTTCTGTTGTTTTTATACGTATGGGCAGACGGGTATTTTTGGCATTGTACAACTTTTATTTTTTATTATATAAATAGATTAAGAAATGGGCTGCAAATAGATTTTTTTTTGCTTCTCCTCCATTCTTTCTCATATCCTCATCTTTTCTACTTCTCTTCTAGTTCTCTTTATGAATGTATGTAAAAAAAGAGACAAAATGGGGCATTGACATACTTTCCTTTCTAAATTTCATTTTGTTTTGGAAAAACAAAAGTTATGAAAAGCTTGACATCATCCATATAAGGGTCATATAATTACATCCTTAAATAGT